TGTATTTTTAATAGAATTTTAAATATTATTAAAGCGCCTCCAAAATTGTGCCCTCCTGGAAGTAGAAGAATTACTTTAGGCAGCTGTAAACATGTCTGGTGATAATTTTTAATTTTAATAAATAAATGAACATGATTGAACAAAAATCCTGTGGCATAAATCTTCAAAAAAGGATTGAGTTAGTAATAAATAATTAGTGATGCATTCACCAAAAAAAAAAAAATAAATTTTGAGAGTTTCATCTATTTGTTAAAAAAAAAAAAAGAAAGTATTTTTGTCTCGTTAGTAACAACCAAAATTCTTGATATATGTGACACGGACAGTTAAAAGGGACCTACGGTCCGAAAAAATCGATTTTCATTTTTTTATTGATTCTTATAGTAAATAAGCCGCTCTTTCCAACGCATTAAACCGCAGCTTTCTAGCTGCATTAGTTTTTTAACAATTTTACTTCAAAGTTAGATACTTTGACAAAAAAAAATACAACAAAATCAAATTTGACAAACTTTTCTAAAATTAATCAAATTCGCTTGAAACTCGTTACTCAGGGGTTTTCGGGGTCGCTGATTACGAATCCGCTGTTAGTTTTTGAAAATTCAAAATGGCGGATCCAGTATGGCGGATGACTTTTTTAAAAATTGATCGGATTCGCTTGAAATTCGTTACTCGGGGGTTTTTGGACTCGCTGATTACGAATCCGATGTTAGTTTTTAAAAATTCAAAATGGCGGATCCAATATGGCGGATGAGTTATTTATAAATTGTACGGATTTGCTTTTCAGAATTTTTAAATAAATACTAATTTACATAGAGATCCAGAAACCCTTCTGTTTCCTAATCATCGACCCCAAAATACCCCTAAAGTATAAATTAATATGTGAATCCAAACATTTTTTTAAACTACATCCACTATATTAAATCCGACATTTTGAATTTCAGATAACGAACAGCAGATTCTTAATCAGTGATCTCGTTTTCGGTGTCAACAAAATTTTTGAGTTTTACACAAATTCGAACAAATTTTAAATGTCCTCCATATTGGATCCGCCATTTAAAATTTTTAAAAACTAACATCATATTTGTAATCAGCGACCCCAAAAACCCCTAAGTAACGATTTTCAAGCGAATCCGATCAATTTTGCTTCCTCGTGGAGGAAGCTTTGTAGTCCTTTCATTTATAAAACTTTTCAAAGTGGCGGAAACAAATTTTTTTCTTTATAGAAACATGTTATATGAGATCCTGATCAATTGTCCGGATGTATGTATGTGTGTGTATGTGTGTGTGTGTGTGTGGATCCCTTTTTTGTTTCGAAGATAACTTTAACAGGTTTTAATGGATTTAGATAAAATTTGGTAGGCTCATTTATCATATTAATATCTCAAATCTGACCAAAGGATTTTGAAAAATACCCCAAAAAAAAATTTTATTGTCTTTTTTCCAAAAATTTTTTTTTAATCGAAAAAATTTTTAAATAGATAAATTTAGGGTTATATATAATAAAATCGTTTTCCTTACGTCAAGACGAATCGATCGATATATATAAAGTATACATTTAAGGTAAATTTAAAGAATTAATGAAAGTTAAAAAATCAAAAATTCATATTTTGGCTATAAAATTTTGTGATTTTTTAAATTGAAGTTTATATATGAAATAATTGTATTCCTTACGTCAAAACGAATCGATCGATATATATAAAGTATACATTTGTAGTAAATTTAAAGAATTAATGAAAGTTAAAAAATCAAAAATTCACATTTTGTCAATAAAATTTTGCTTTCTCCACGAGGAAGCAAATTTTTTTGCTGATCGTAAAGAGGAAGCAAAATGTTCATGTAATGAACATCTGAATTTACAACTTGTTTAAAAAAGTCATCCACCATATTGGATCCGCCATTTTGAATTTTTAAAAACTAACATCATATTCGTAATCACTGACCCCGAAAACCCCCGAGTGACGAATTTCAAGCGAATCTGATCAATTTTTAAAAAAGTCATCCGCCATATTGAATCCGCCATTTTGAATTTTCAAAAACTAACATCATAATCGTCATCAGCGACCCCGAAAACCACCGAGTAACAAGTTTCAATTCATTAAAACGTTCACAAGCATCAAAATCAACTTGCTAAACTTCAAAGTCGTTTTTCTCGAAATCTTTTTTTCGGATCGTAGTTCCCTTTTAACTGTCCGTGTCACATATGACGATCAGAATCAAGACTAAGAATATTTGAATGTCATAATAGAAGAAAGAATAACCTTAATTTAAAAAATATTTAAATAAAAGTAAGATTAAGCATATATAATTTTATAAATTATAGATGAATCATAATTATTATTATGTTAATTATAAATTTTAACCAAAAATTGATACATGAATATTTAGGACCCTTGAATAAGTTCTAAAAATCAGTTGTTAGAATTTTTATTCAATAAGGCGTTGTCCGCAGTGGCGAGACAGCCGGTGTGGCGAGACATTAGGATATTTCAGACAGCTGAACTGACTGTGCTGGCACTTCTGGTCTGAAAGTCAAGTTTTATTGTGCTTTAACTTTTCAATATGATACATACGTTTTTGATGTACGAAATATCGCTATACTGATAATAACAGTTTCAAGATATTTTAGAAGTTTTATTTCCCATCGGTATAAGTGATAATATATAAAAATTTCCGGAATTTTCTGAAGGGTTAAATGTTTTGAGTCTTTAGTATTTAAGTTTCCTTCAAAATTTCCAGAGCACTATGAATTATTGTTCGATGCATAGGATTGTACATCGTCATTACCGAAAAATGCTGTTTCCGCATTGGCGAGACACTTGTTGTCGGCAGTGGCTTTTTAATATCTAATAATATTGTACATGTCTTAATGAATTTGATATAATTTTTGTACGTTTTGTCGACAATATTTTTCATAACTATAGTTTAAATTGAAAAAGATGAACAGGAAGAAAAGCTTATTTGTTTTTAATAACTGTGACATGGATTAGCGGCTCACAATCAGAAAAATATTTGCCTGTATTTTTATGATTGAATGAAACAATATTATGATTTAAAGGCATCAATTATTATACTCTTTCTCTTTGATTCCTTTGTTTTTGTTACGTTTGAACGATAAAGACTCTGATTTTAAGATAGTGTCTCGCCACTACGGACGATTTTTTATGTCGGTAGTCGCGAGACATTATCGTAAATCGGCAATAACTTTTTTTTCCAATATCTGTTCTGTAACTGTATAAGTTAAATTTGCAGTATAGAGTCACACCTGTCCATGGATATATATACAGACTTGATGTTCTTGAAAATGTGAGTGCTATAACAAAAAAACAAAACGTGTCTCGCCACTACCGACTCTCCCTTATAGAATTTCATTAGATATAATTATTTTGCAGAATTATCATTAAAATTAAACCGATCTTCTATATTAAACAATTTTTATATTTAACCGAAAAATCACTTCACAGAATTTTTATTTGTTCAAATTATTATTTGATAGAATTTCCATATAACCGATTTTTCATACTACAGAATTTATATTTAACCGAAAAATCATTTAAAAAAAATGTTTATAATTGATAGAATTTTCATTTGTCCCAAATGGCAAATATCCAAACAGGCAATGAACAGGAGGATTTTTGCACGATTTTTAAAATCAACGAATCACAATTTTATGGATAATTTTTGATTGATTGATTTTAAAAACCGCGCCAAAATCCTTCTTTCGATTGTCTGTTCGGACAAATGAAAATTTTATCAATTAGAAATTCTGTTCAATGATTATTCGGGTAAGTAAAAATTCTGTAGTATCATATAATCAGTTATATGAAAATTCTATCAAATAATAATTGGAACAATTGAAAATTTATCTAAAAGAAAATTTTATCCAATAAAATGCTACCTAATAAAAATTTAGTAAAATTTCTATTATGTTACTCTCTAAATCTGAATTAGTAAAAATGTTTACTAATTTAAATTAGTGACTCACTTTTTGCTTTAAAATTAGTTAAAAGTTACTAATAATTAGTAAAATTTTACTAATTGAGAAGCAAAAAGTGAGTTACTAATTGGAATTAGTGAACATTTTTACTAATTCAGATTTAGAGAGTAAATAAAAATTCGAGAATATATAACAACTCTGACAAATCAAAATCCGAAGAAATAAAAATTCTGTGAAGAAAAAAAAATTCTTCTAAAAATTCTTTCGGTTATATAAAAATTCTGTAACACATATTGAAAATCATTTTAATGGAAATTCTGCAAAATAATAATTTGAACATATAAAATTCGGCTCAATGAAAAATATATATATTAAAATTCTATTAAATGAAAATTCTAACAATTGATTTTTAGAACTTATTCATGCGTTCCGAATATTTAACATAAATTTTTTTTTCATTTGAAATATTTATAATGGGAAAAAACTTTTATGAAAATTAATATACAATATTGTAAATATTAATGATTTTTGAATGTTATGAATCTAAAAATAGAATTCGTTATGTTACCTCACTTTGTAAATATTTTAAAAATTATTTTATCAAGAGAATTAAATGATAAATATTGTCCTATGATCCAATGAGGCAAAAGATTATTTAATTTGTTCTGATTAAACTCTAACTTTGCCGTACTAAGAAAGAACAAAAAATAAATATAAACAATAAAAACATTTACTTATATAGAAATTGTAAAATATATTTCAATTCGAGGTACTGTCCAAATTTTCAACAAACTCGCAAGTTTTTTAACTTCAAGGTTCTCTAACTGAAATTTCATTAGAGAAAACAATAAATTTTTGTCTTGAAGTGAAATAATGATTAACATATTTAAAATGAGCATAGAATTTTAAAAAACTTTTTTATAACATTTTTATATAAATAAACTTTTATTTAACTCAAAAATGATATCATTTTAAATACTAAAATAAATAATCTACAATATTAATTAATAATAAATTAAATCATAATTCAATTTAAACAATATTTAAAAAAAATGAAAAAAGATTCACGTAAATTCTGAAAAATACTTTTATTTCTGATTTTTCTTCATTCTTTAAGATACATTAGAAAATAATCACCTCATTTTTTATTGCTTGATATGAAATTGATTTTCTTAAATGTTATTCATTAAATAATTACACTAACGAGAAACATTAAAATAAAGAGGGGAAAAAAAATTACTGAAAATCATATAAAAAATATTACCAAATAATAATGAGGTTCCAATAATTTTTATCGTTAAACATGTAATTCTGTAAAACTTTTGATGGCCCAAAGTAAATTTAAAAGTAAGGTAAACAACAACATTTACAATATAATGTCCATCGAAGTAAAAACACGGAATCAAATTAATAACAACTAATCCTGAAGAAAACATCACAATATATTTATAAATTAGAGTCAATGTTTCTGGAATTTCGGACGATAGTAATGTAAATTTTGATACCCAATTGGACACAAGTACTGTTCGAGAAATATCAATTGGATAGCCGATAAATAGAACATCCAATTTGTTTTTACGCTTAATTTGAACAATTTTAGTATCATTTTCTACCAATGGTTTTAGACAATTTTCATTATCCGCACACTCCTCATTCGATGAGCAAAATTTACTAGATTTAGTGATAATGGCACGCGCCGGAAGGCATCGAAATTCAGTTAAATTATCATTTTTCAGGTGTCTCAAATTATCGAAACACAAATGCCCAAGTTGCTTTGAATGATCATCACAGCAATCTGATGATTTTGAATACGCATAATTAACAGATTTTTGAAGCATACCCTTCGAAACACAAAACTGAGGATTAGGCTTTTGAATCGAACTCAATATACAATTACTCCAATCCTTGTCATTTTTTACAGAACAGTCATTAATTTTATAAATTGTATCAGACACTGTTAAACCCGTGACTCCAATTAACGGTGAATTAGTTGTCATCATTCGCACAGAAACACCAGTTTCGGTAAAATAAAATGGTTTGTACAAAGATGTCCCCCAACTGAGTAGAATTAGTGCCACTGCTGATAGAACACAATTGTGCCAAATTCCAGCGCACATGATTCGTAATTGAGAGCGCTTTGACGACGATAACAATTTATCATTACATAATTGAACGTAAGCAACGGGCACTATGAAAGCTAAAAAAAATCCAAGTCCATAGAGTCTCACATCTTCGCTGATCGCAGCAATGGCATGACCCAGCTCATGAAATGTACTGCATATAAATAATGTGAAAATATAATATCCCAAATCATTTATTGGAATATTAAAGCCAGGAACCATTAGTTGCAATGAAAGAGATTCCTTATCATCATTCTCAATTTGTTTACTATTGAAAATATTAATTGTCATTTGTGTTAAAATATAAATTGATACTGGAAGAAATAAAAGAGTTACACAAACACCAACGTCAAACCACAAATGCCAAAATTGTTTTTTGGCTTTTGCACAAACTTTTATTGACTCGTTAAATGCTGATGTAAACCATTTCACTCGTAAAAATTCAATTCCAAGTTGTAACTGTTTCAACTTATTGACGTAGATAATAGAATACGATGTTAGAATCGTATGGATAAAATACAGAAGACAGTGAATAAGTCCAAAAAATGCAAAAACAGTTAGTGAATCCATTTCTCTTGCTCTTTTCACATATCTTGAATGCGCTCTCCTCTGTCTGACAATTCTCAAGTCCAATTTTTTTTATTAATTTATTAATAAAATAAACTTCTTGATTAAAATTGTTTCTTCTTAAGTAGACCACTGTAGTAACTCAAAGTAAATCCACACTAAAAATTAGTATTATTATATTTAATTTTTTTTTTGAAAAAGTACTAAATTATAATTTTACACATTTGAAAATTAAATTACTTAAAAATATTCACGCAACAATCGTCGGAAGAAAATCAATGAACTGATTAATTATATTCTTTACAACGCTAGTAAATAAGAAAAAAAATAATAATAATAAACACTTTAAATCACACTGAAAAAAGTAATGTACCATAAAGGTGAAACTGGCACCTAGTTATTAGCATCCATTTAATTATTAAAATTTTCAAGTTGGTATTGAAACAAAAGAATACCATTTGTCAAAAATCTTAAACATCAAAAGAAAAGTATATAATTCAAATTCATTAGAAAACAAATGAATACGACGAAAAAATATCAAAAATAAATTTAAATATTTTTTAAAATAAATAATGAAAATAATAACGCCAACATTAAAATTTACAATTACCAATGATTCTATTATTATTTATTAATGAATGCATTTAAAAAGGGGAAGTATATTATTGTTTTTTTTTAAAGCAAGTAGAAGTTAAAGAAAATTAATTTAATTTTAAAAAGATTTTCCATTCAAATTCTACGAAAAATTATTAATTACAAATATTTTTCGTTGAAGATTCGGAAAAAAAAAATTCCAATTTCTCCCTTAAATAAAATTTAACATTTGCAATATTTTTTTCAACTTCTTTGGGTCTCAAAAAGACTGAAAAAAATTATTTTATTCAAGGGAGAAATTGGAATTTTTTTTCCGAATTATTAAAGAAAAATCTTTGTAATTTCGTTTGGAATCCAAGTCTCGCGGTCACAATTTTCTTTTAACTTCCTTCAGTCCTCAAAAGACTGAAAAAAAATTTAGGAACTGTTAAATTTTATTGTGGAGAAAAATTAAAAATTTTTCGTAGAATTTGAATGTAAAATTTTTTCAAAATTAAATTAATTTTCTTTAACTTCTACTTGCTTTAAAAAAAAATAATATTCTCCCCCTTTTTAAATGCATTCATTAATAAATAATAATAGAATCATTTGTAATTGTAAATTTTAATGTTGTCGTTATTATTTTCATTATTTATTTTAAAAAATATTTAAATTTATTTTTGATATTTTTTCGTCGTATTCATTTGTTTTCTAATGAATAACCTTTGAATTATATACTTTTCTTTTGATGTTTGAGATTTTTGACAAATGGTATTCTTTTGTTTCAATACCAACTTGAAAATTTCAAAAATTAAATGGGTGCTAATAACAAGGTTCCAGCTTCAGCTTCATTAATGTACCACCGTCCCACAGAATACGATTTTGTCAAAATCTTATATCTTTTGAACAAATGGACCAAATTTAATGATCCTTGGATGAAAATGAAGCTAAATAAATGTAAAATAGAGGAAAATTATAGAGAATCCTTGATCTCATTTTGTAGGCCTTACAAACTTCAGCGCAGTTGGTCGTTTTTATTAAAAAATGATAAATTGAAGTGCATGAACCGGTAAATCATAACATTTTTTTTAAAAAAACCTATTTTCCTAAGCATTTAAGATCGCTGATTGCGAAAATAAAGTAAATTAAATACTTAAATTTCTAAAAGTTCATTGATTTGTTCGAAACTTGGTATTCAAGTGTTTTTGAGGTCACTATAAATATGACAGTTAAATTGAAAAATTTATAATGGCGGATCCAATATAGTGGACAATTTTTTTTTAAAATACTTGAATTTGAATAAAACTTTGTATTTCAATGTTTTTGAGGTCAATGAATTCAAATATGAAGAATAAATAGAAAAATTTAAAATGGTGAATCCAATATATCGGACAAAAAAATTTTACAAATGCTTAGATTTAAAATAAAATTTGGTATTCCAATGTTCTTGAGGTCGCTAAATTAAAATATGTCGGTTAAATACAAAGTTTTGTTCAAATCTAAGCATTTTTAAACAATTTAATCCGCCATATTAGATCCGCCATTTTAGATTTTTTAATTTAACTCTCATATTTGAATTTAGTAACCTTAAAAACATTGGAATAGCAAGTTTCGAACAAATCAACCAATTTTTATAAATTTAAATAATTTAATTTAATTTATAATTCATTTTTGAATTCGCCATTTTAAATTTCGAAATTTTAACATTATTTTCGCAATCAGCGACCTTAAATGCTTAGGAAAATATTGTTTTTTTAATTTCACTCTGATTTACCGGTTCATACACTTCAATTTATCATTTTTTTAAATAAAAATGACCAACTGTGCTAAAGTCTGTAAGGCTCACAAATTGAGATCAAGGATTCTCTATAATTTTCCTCTATTTCTACATTTATTTAGCTTCATTTTCATGCAAGGATTATAAAATTTGGTTTATTTGTTCAAGAGATTAGGTTTCTACAAAAAAAAATGACAAAATCGTACACTGTGCTTCCGTTTTAAAAGAGACACTACATATTTTATGAAAAATGAGATCTTTATACCGCACAGTTGAAGGAAAATAGAATTTACTGTTCAAAAAAGTCTAGAGTCTATTTTTGAATCGATTTAATTAAATTTTTTTTTCAATTAAAAGTTATAAAATTTGGAAGAGATTTGTCGAGCCCGATTTAAAATTTTTTATTTGTTTATATTAATTTGTTTATTGCAAAATTTAACAAAAGTAACCATTTTTAAGAAAAAGTGATCTCCTGTTACAATAAGTGAGTGGCACAGGGTAAAAACTGCTTTAAAATATAGCTGTGTACTCCCTAAACGATTAATAAATAATTAAGGTTACAACAAATTGTTTATTTCGTCAAAGGCTTTGTTTAATTTTCATAAAATTGTTTACTCGGGGGTCGCTGATTATGAATCCGACATCAGTTTTTAAAAATTCAAAATCGCGGATACAATATGTTTGATATTTTTTTTTAATTTGCTCAGGAGTTTTTGGGGTCACTGATGAAGAATTTGAAGTCGGATTTTCAAAATTGAAAATATTTGATCCAAAATGTCTGAATCTTTTTTAAAAAAACTGATCAAACTAGTTTGAAATGTAAAAATACTTTTTTCCTGACTTAATCGACTTGTGTTTTTAATTAAATTTCTTTTAAAATATTATTTCATAAATCCAATAAGCGTATTTAATTTTATGATGTTTTGAAATTTTTAAAAACTGATATCGGATACGTAATCAGCGACCCCAAAAAACTCATGAGTAAACAATTTCAACAAAATTAAACAAAGCCTCTGACAAAATAAACAATTTGTTGTAACCTTAATTATATACCAAATTTCAATCCTCTGTAAAAATATCTGAGCTCAGAGGAGGAGACGATTTCATGAAGGGAAATACAAATGAAACGTATTACAAAACTGACGAAAAGAAAAATGAAAATATTTTCTATTTTAATCCTCGTTTAAATGGGTAAATTAATTAAATGTGTTTGAATTTTTAGAATTGAGCAGAGAAAATACTAAATTTTAAATATACCTTTTACACTTATTGGTTCCATATAATAAAGTACACATAGCACATCCTTGACAAAAGTGTTTGCTCAAACTAAAACAGAAAAACAAATATTTACTGTTATTATCACGAGAAAATTGCAGATAACTATTTAATACATGTACTTACGCATAATCGGAAATATCCAAAATCTTTTGTTCTCGAATGCAATCATTTATATATTGTACATCGTAAGTTTCAGTTTTACCAATATTGTGCAGATTTTTTGTTGTCAATGTTATTGTTGAGTCAGATGCAGAAACACATATAACTCCCCCATTTTTCTAGCAATATACAAAAATTTTATTTTTACAGTTTGAACTCCAATAAACTCTTTTTGAAAATCTGTAAAGTTTTTTTTTCTAAAAACAAAGCTTAAACATATATAAGGTAAGTGTACGAATTACAGTGAGTGCATCAATTACGACGCATTCATAAAAAATAACTATTATTACTATTATATTTATTATAACTATTGCAAAATGATTAAAAAAAAATTATTTTAATCTTTTTTTTGATAAAATTACTTATAAAGATGCACATTTAAACAATTACTAATTTAACTAGCAAAATTAAACGCGCACAAGCGCGCCAAATTTAGTATTTAATTGTTTGTTATAAAGAAATTAAAGATTAATATTATCAATAATAATTTAATTTATTAGAATATTATTACATATTAAATGATAATAATGAAAATTATATGTTTACAGGCCTCGGATTATATGACTTTTTCCGACTTTTTTCAAAAATACGACTTTTATCGACTTATTTTAATAAAATGCGACATTTTTTTTACATTTGAAAAGAAAATGTAAATAAAATACATTTTTTTAGTATAAAATGTAGATCTTCTTCAGATCTTCTTCAATTCAATTATTTAACAAATTTTTAACTAAAATCATTCTTCACTAAATTAATTATTTTTAATAATTTTAATTAAATACATCACAAATTCAATTATATCAAAATTATTTTTCAATTAAAATTTTTATGAAATTTAACAATTGTTCATAATTTAAAAAAAAAATATCACAATAAAATTGAATTATTTTTTAAAAATTTCAATTCAAAATAAACTAAAATTCAATTATTACCCGAAATTTTAATTCAAAATCAATTAAAAATCCAATAATTATCCAAAATTTTCAATTTCAATTTAATTATTTACCAAGTTTTCAATTTAAAATGAAATAAAATTCAATTATTTTCTAAAATTTCTATTCAAAATTAATTATCCAAATTTTCAATCAAAAATGAACTTAAATTAAATTATTATCCAAAATTTCAATTAAAATTCAATTATTTCCCAAAATTTTCAATTCAAAATTAACTGAAATTCAATTATTTTCCAAATTTAAAATCAAATAAAATTTCATTATTCTCGAAAATTTGAATTCAAAATTAATTGAATTTTCAATAATTTGAATTTAAAAGCATCTAAAATTTAATTATTTCTAAAATTTTCCATCAAAAATTTTTTTTTTTTTTAATTTAATAATTTCAATTATAACTCTAAGGAAATTCAATTATTTTTAACTATTTTAATAATATTCTTTGAAAATTCAACTATCTGAAACCATTTTTCAATTAAAAATGATTTTCAAATTATTGTATTTTATCCGCATTTTCTAATAAATTTTTAGTGAAATCATCTAAAATTTTAATTACAAAACACTTAAAGTTTCAATTAATTTCAAAAATCTCAATTTTAAATCTTTGAAAATTCAATTGAATTTAAAAAATATTTTCCAAAAATTGTTGGATAAATTATTTTTAGTTCTGTAAAATTTAATAATTGTTTGAAAATTAACAATATCTTTTGAAATTTAATTATTTCTAAAAATTTCAACTTTAACCCTTCGAAAAGAATTATTATAAAAAAAAAAAATTTTTGTTTAAAAATCTGTAAAATATTTTTGTTAAAATAAAAAACAAATCCACTTTTTTGGAATATAAATCGACTAAAACGACTTTTTGTGCCTTTAAGTTGATTCGAGGCCTGTGTTTTTATAATTAATATTTAATAGGTATTCGTTGACCCCTGGTACCTTAAAAATTAATTTTTAAAAATAAATTTTTTTCAAATTACTATATCTTGTACGAAATTTCCTGGCGCATCTTTTTTCTCATCATAAATTTTTTGTATTTGTATACAATTTTTGAATCAATATACAACTTTAAAAAAAATTTCGTTGGTAAACGTTGTATACTTTGGCAAAAATGAGAAAAAGAATTGTAAAAATTTGACACGTCAGAAGATTAATATTAAAAAAAACACGTGAAATCAGAAAAGGCCAACATTTAAGTTAGGACACATCAAAGCGATTTTCTATATTAAAGAATTTTTATATAACGGAAAATTCAACTCACAAAATTTTTATTTCTTCGAATTTTTATTTGCTCGAATTTTCATTTAACATAAGAGGCATTTTAAAGAATTTTTATTGGATAGAATTTCATTGAACAGACTTTTTATTCAGATGAATTTTCATTTGTTCGAATTATTATTTGATATAATTTCCATATAATCGATTTTTCATACTACAGAATTTTTACTTAACCGACAAATCATTTAATAGAATTTCTAATTGATAGAATTTTCATTTGTCCGAATTTTCAAATGTCCGAACAAACAATCGACAGAAAGATTTCAGCGCGATTTTTAAAATCAACCAATCACAATTTTATGAATAATTTTTGATTGGTTGATTTTAAAAACCGCGCCAATATCCTTCTTTCGATTGTCTGTTCGGAAAAATGAAAATTTTAGCAATTAGAAATTCTGTTCAATGATTTTTCGGGTAAGTAAAAATTCGGCTTAAAACTAATTAGGACAAATAAAATTCGATAAAATGTAAATTATGACTAATGATTTTTAGAACATAATCATGCGTTCCGATAATTACGGTATTAGTTTATATTTGTTTAAATAATCGATTTTTATAAAGTTAAAAATTTTTTTTAATATCTAAATAACATAAGCTTTTAGTTTAATAAGTCTTAAATTGAGTTTATACAATAGAAATGTCCAATTTTCTATCTTAAAGGTATTTTGACTCGAATCGCGCCGTAATTAGTACATTTACCCTAATAGGGGAGAATGGGGAGTTGTGCAACACGTTAATATTTTATAATGGCAATTAATGTGACAAATTGTCAAATTCCTTTCTCGTGAAGAACTAAGAAATTTTTTTAAAAAATATTGTTTTAAATATCTAAAAAGAAATTATCAATTTAATAAAATTGTTTAATTTACTATTTTATTTTACATTGCCATCATAATTTTTAATAATTTATAGATTGAAAAAAATATTTCATTCATTTGAATGTTCAGAACTTTTGGCTCATTATAGTTTTGTATTTTTGCTGTAAATCTCAGGGCAAACGTTTTTTATTTTTCATTTCTATAATTACGAAATTGGTATTGATTTATTGCACAAAACATTTTTTTATAAAGTAGAATAAATTTGTGGACTGTTGTCAAATGATAATAAAAAATATTTAAATTTTTATCGAAGAAATTGATTTTTTAAAACAAAAAAGATTTAGATCGAAATCACTTGAGAGATTACTAAAAATGAAAAAAATTGTTTTGTTCACTAAATCTGGTGCAGAATTTTTATTTTTCATCCGATTGTTTGAAAGGGGAAAAATTAGAGAAAAATGTAAAACTGCCACATTCAATGTATTAAAATTACCGTATTGAATCATGTAATTCTACAAATTTTTATACAAAAAAAATACAAATCGGAAATGTATATAAACACAGGAAATTTCTTTTACAGTGTATATGTACATATATAGAACACGTATTTTTAAACATTTACCTTTATTTTTCTTTCATATAATTTAGTATCTTTCTCAGAAAGTAGCAAATGAAATTTTTGTGGAAATTTGTTTCCTACATTAAACAAAGTCATTGCTATATTTATTCACGTCTATATTCTAACCAATTCTAATGTTTACATTATTAAGCATGGTGCATACAAATACGGTGCTGCTGACAGCATGCTAGCAGGGATGTAAAGCTGCTTCTTCAATAACTTTTTTTTAAGATGCACGATGTTACCTAAATTACGTAATATACGTAACAAATGTCACAAAAGTCAAAAAAATATCATAACCTCACTTTTTGTAAAACATGTCGTCGGGTTACCGCAATAACGATTCAAAAACAATAGCAATAAAGGCCTGAGCATCAGAATAGAAACGAAACCGGAATCGTCATCGCAAACGTAACCGGAAGAATGAGTTAGAGAAGGATAGACATATTGTTTGTCTTTCTCCAACTCATTATTCCGATCACGATTCCAGTTACGTTTCTATTCTGCTCAGGCCTAAGGCAAAAAAGTGCCAATTCAAAATTTATATTTTTTATTAATTTTTAAGTTGACAACAGTGTCAATATTTCATTAATGCAAAGTTTTTCTCTATTAACAATAGACCTTTTCATGCTGATCGTTCTGTCCTTATCTAACGCATACAATGACGCATGAGTTGGAAGAGGACAAAATGATTAGCATGAAAAACAACCCTTAAATAATTTTTTATGAACTTCAATAATCAATATAACGTTTAAAATATTTTTCTGTAGATATTGAAGTTCATAAAAAATTATTTAAGGGTTGTTTTTAGGGGTAGTGAATGGGGAAAATTTTTTTAACAACAGGTTTGAGTACACGGCTTTTTCCATTTCTATAATAATTATTTTTTTTTTATCCTCTAGATTTCCAATTTTTAGTATTTTAATGTTGGCGCACCCCTGGACAAAAACTCACCCCCTGCTTTAAGGGTTGAAGCATATTAATCGGCTAAGAGCTCATTTGAAAGGGCACGAATTAAGCTTTAATTTCTGATATTAGCGAAGTTTCTATCACGTCAGGATTTTGCCCCACAATTTTTCAAAAAGTGCCAAAAACGCTGTTTTTAGGGGTTTCAACCCCATTTTTCTCAAAAACTTGACGTGATGGAGCATTTTGGACCCCGGATTCGTGTTCAGGGCAAAATTTCCCTTCGGGAACACCTAGTCGCATTCATTATGCCGAAAAAAAGTTTGGATTTGCTGGCCTGTGTTATTTATAATAAGAAATATATGATTTTTTAATCAAAATGTTAACAGTCTTTACAAAGACAAATTAACATATACAAACATATACATCACACAAATTGTAAGAATATTATTAGAATTATTAATATTTATTATTTACTTAACAAAAGCTTAATAATTATGTACATATATACTGGTCACGGAATGGAGTTTTATTCTTCTCGACAGCTCCAAAAAAAAAAAACTGAAAAAAATTTCAGTGTTGAAATAAAATTTTTTTAACCAATCTGTAAATAGTATTTGCAATATTTTATTCAAATAAAAGACTATTGTAAAAATTATTAATAATATTTTTCATTTATTTAATAAAATTCAGAATTTACTGCGGTCACGGAATGAAATTTCATCTTAATTTGCGCTGACCTTTAATCGTACCAATATATCACAGAAAAAAACTGGACTCAGAATGAGCCGTGTAGGCGGCTCATTTTGATGTGCAACAAAAATGAACCAGGTTGGTAGCGCCAGTGTCTATGTCATTTAGCATTGGCTCATTTTGATTTGCAACAAAAATGAGACTTAAGTTTTTTCTGTGTTTAAATACTGTTTACTACTACATTGCTCCCTTAATATGTTTATTTATATTTAATACTTATATTTGTGACCGATCACGGAATGGAGTTTTCAATGGCGCACAAAAGTAAATTAATTCTTAAAAATAGAAATTGAAATATTTTGCCTTAGCTCTTCTGGAATCGATTAAAATAAAGAATAATTAATCAATATTGCTAGACAAATGATAAAATTAGATTTGAAATTGATATGATATATTTCAGATAATATGAAATTTCTATTTTTTTCTCATATGATCTGATTTAATGTTAAATACTATCATATGGCCGTAATTATTTTTATTTATTTTAAATATTTTTTAGAAAAAATGCCTTAAACGTGTTATTTGTCCTTTTCTAGATTTATAAAAATTTTCTTTATTTACTTACCAAACTCTGAATATGGAATGGCGGTTAACTCAATTTAATATATATATAAGTAGAAAAAGTGTAAAGTATTTTTAATTTTCAACGTTTTGTTTATTTCTTTTATAATCACAATATTTTACATAAAATATATATTACAATGTCATTAGAATTAATAAATAACAAAGAAAAAGTTTTCAGTTTGTAACATACAATTAAGTACAATAAGAACTTGATTGATTCGAAATAAATGAATCGCACTCTATTTTAAGGCAATAGGAACTCCAACTATAGCAAGTTATTTTTTCTCTTTTAAAATAAAAATGAAATTTTGTTCAAGGAGAGGGTCTTTTTTAATTTGCTATAATCTTTTTTTGTGTTGAGAGAAAAAGAAACAAAGCTTTTTTTTCATTTTTGTCGAAATGAAGTAACAATATTTAAATTTACTTATAATTTTAACAGAAAATAATTAAATGCCATTTATAAAGGTTTGGAAAATTATAGTCCATTTAGACGACTGATAATATCGATAAAACAAAATTAAGTTATGATTTCAACAGCACTTTATCATTTTACGAAATATGTTTATCAACGTTGTTACCACATGAATTGAATTATGAAATAATAATGCTGAATTAAATTTCATGTGGAATTTGACGTGAAAATGATTTCAGATAATTTTATTTAATTGACTTACGATTGAGTAGAAATTAGTGATGATTAGTTCCCTTCATTATTGATTGTATGATCATTGATTGAACATTTTTGTAAAAGCCAGCTACATATTAATTCATAAATTAAATGTACAAGCTAATGATTTTTTTTCCCCGTGAACTGACAATTGACGCCAGTATTGTAGAAAAACTTTTTAAAACATAATAAAAAAGCAATATTTTACAATCGATAAAAGTAAAAATAAAGTTGTAGGTGCCTCACATTATTTTGGCTTTTTTACATCTTTTTATAATATTCTGATTTAATAATATTTGAAATATTAAAATTTTCATGAAATCAGGGAAATATTCGCACGCTTTATTCATAAAAATGCTACTTCATCATTTTAAATATAAAATTCCATTTGCAGGAATGTAAATTTGAAGAAGTGAAACATTAATTTTTCTCAATAAGAAAGGCAATTTGAAAGGTGGCCTGAACACAAGTTTGAAGGGTAATAGAAATACAGTGATGTTTGATTGAGTCGAGTGTAAAATTTGGCCTGAACACAAGTTTGAAAGGTAGTAGGAGTCAAAGGATTTTGATTTTGTCGATCAGTATAGGAACGATGATGTACGTATCCTGTTTGAATGTCTTGCTGAATATGTTGATATCCCTTTCAAACTCACATTCAGACCGACGTTACTCAGCCTGGCATTTTTCGATTTATCATAGCACCCAGGTCTTGAACCATGTGTCTCTCGTCGGGACTGAAAAGCAACGTTCGCGCACTGAGAAAAGAAATATCAGGTAACTGTTTCAAAACATTCATTGTTTCCGGTCTAACGGACATCGGCCTGCCGAATCTATCCATGACCACATTTTCTCCATTCGAGTATTTCCGTTTGCTTATCGATGATTTTCTCTGGTGTTCCTGCTTATGAAATTCTGCTTTACCGTAACTTAAGTTGCCAGGCGGAATATTTGTATTGCTAATTAAAAATGGTCGGCCATCACTGAAACTAGATGATATTTTTGATGTTCTCTGAGGGAGTTTATTCTTGACTGGTTCTACATCAAGTTTCTTTTTCGCGGTAGAACTTGGTCCTGGTAAAGCGTCGACTATTTTAAATGATTGTGACTGCGTATCCGAATAATCACTCGACTGTCGATATTTTGTACCTTGCGAAAGATTAATATCTTGTCCAGATCCTACTTCAGGTGAATCTATAAAAAGTCGATCAGTTAATTTACTTACATTAGAAATAGGAATTGTAAATTTTAAAACGTATTTTTAAAAAATAATTTATTAAATTAAAGGTGTAGTTTTTAATTAGATTGAAAATATGACACACAAATAATGATCGACCACGCAAATGTTAGAATCTTGTTTCTATTGCAATATATACAGGAATAATTTAAAATATAAAAAAAATAGTTTCAGTTAGAAAAAGAGAACTTATATTCTCTTGAAATGGGAAAAAGAAATCCTTTCCTTTGTAGAAAAATATGAATAGTAATAGATAATCTGAATAAATTTTAGAATACTTTTTTTTGGTGTACTTTTCTGAATTTTAACTTCACGCTGAATCCGAACCTAGTCTCAGAATTGTTCTATGATGTTAAGTTTTCAAGATATAGTCTAAAAGGTAAAAAAAAAAGATTTCAGGCTAGGTATTTAAGATTTTGTAACATCAAGAGATAATTTATTTAAAAAGAGGTCGTTTTCAAGCGTTTCTAGTGTCAGTAGCGGAAGAAGTTTGATTCCGTCTGACCAAAACAAGGAGACAATTGAAGAAGAACGCGATACAGTCGACACTCGATAATTAAACATTCGATAAATTGAATCTCTCGGTAAATTGAAGCGTTCTTCGGGTCCCTTGAAAAACTCGCGATAAATTGAAAAAATCCCATTGTTTTGGGTCCCTTGATAAATAAAAGTTTTTTTGACGGCAACTTGTCTATTTTACCTCTATAAATTGAATTCGTCCAGCCGAACTCTCTATAATTTGAATTTTTCGATATATATATATAGAAATGCTCCCTCTGTAAATTGAATTCAGTCAAATTGAACTCTCTATAATTTGAATTTTCTTCATAGATAGAAATGTATACTTTAATTTTCCTTGAAAATAAAAGTTATTGTAAACATTGTATCTTGTAAACACAGTACATTCTAAAATCAAAATACTGAATCATTCATTGTTAATTATTCCCATCTATTAATGTAATTATCAACTCGCTGTTAAATTCAGTTTAAGACTAGTCTCGTTTTTTGTACGAGTTGAAAATGACGTCTCCGAGATCGCACAAATGTTTAACGATTTTGGAGGAAAAAAAAATTATCGATATCGCGGAAAGTGGTGGAACAAAAAAAGATATTGCCAAACAATTTGGAATTTTGCCTTCAACGCTCTCTAATATTTTAAAAAATAAAGATCGAATTCTCGGACTCAACGTAAGTGATGGAAAAAAGAGGTTTCGAAAGTGTAAGTTTCCACAACTTGAGGAATGTCTAGTGAAGTGGTTCGCTCAGTGCAGAGAAAAAAACATACCCATGAGTGGTGCCATGCTTAAGGAAAAAGCCCTATCATTTGCTTTATCACTTGGCATGGTAGGTTTTTCAGCTAGTGAGGGGTGGCTGGCTAATTTTAAAAAACGACATGACATTGTTTATAAGAAACTTTGCGGTGAAAGTGTAAGTGTGGATGAGTCTGTTTGTTCGAATTGGAAAATAGACTTGAAAGGACTTTTAGACAACTATGAGCCACGTAACATCTTTAACACAGATGAAACAGGACATTTTTTTAAGTGTTTACCAGAAAAAACTTTAAATTTTCAAAGTGAAAAATGCTACGGTGGTAAACATTCCAAACAAAGAGTGACGCTTTTACTTGCTACGAACATGGATGGAAGTGAAAAGTTGAAACCTCTGATAATAGGAAAATCTGCAAAGCCTCGTTGTTTTAAAGGTGTTAAATCGTTTCCGGTTGATTACAAAGCTAACAAAAAATCCTGGATGACTACTGAACTTTTTAATACATGGTTGTTACAATTGAATAAATCCATGAAGAAACAGAAGCGCAAAATTTTACTTTTTATGGATAATTGTACCGTTCACAATAACCCTCCACCGCTAGAGCACATTAAAGTGCATTTTTTCCCGCCGAACACCACTTCCAAATTACAACCATTAGATCAAGGTGTAATCCAAAATTTTAAAATTTTTTATCGCAAAGAAGTAGTAAAACTGGTATTGGACAAAATTGAGAATGGATCGATTGTCAACATCACAATGCTTACTGCTATGACCATGATTGATAAGGCATGGAAAAATGTCAGGCAACAAACAATTCTCAACTGATTTAGAAAATGTGGATTTGTCGTGAACTCGCAAAGTCTGAATGAAAAAAATGGTAAGTTTCATATACTTTTATGATTTAATATACTAAGGCGTCAATACTGTGTGACAATGTCTAAACATATTACGAAATTTTTTTAGGATACGGACTTCCAGATAATGAAGAATTAAATACTGTTAACCAAGATTCATTGTGGAATCTTCTTCCTGGACAAAAAGATCTGACGTTTGAAAATTTCGCACATTTGGACGACGGCGTTGCAGTTTATGGTAATCTAACTGATGCAGAAATTGCAGCAAGTGCGAGTGACCCTGCAGAAGTTGATGGAGAAGACGAAGGTGATGATGACGATGTGTTAAATGTGTTTGTGTCGTTAAAAGAAGCAAGAACGTCATTGAATATTTTACGATCGTATGCACTTCGCGCTTAAGTCGATGACAACTTTTCAGAGAATCGAAGAGGAGATCGCCAAGATGGTAAAGTCTTGCGAAGACCAGAAGAATGTCAACATGACTATTAAGGATAGACTTAATTTTAAGTGTTTGTGAAAAATATCCCGAATACTCGAAAAATTTAAATTGCGGAACAAACCAGGTCCACCTCGTATAGAAGGTACAAAATTTATGAAAGTTCCCACATGAGTATTCTGTTAAATGCTTTTTCGGTTAATTACAAATTCTGTAGTATGAAATATCGGTTACATGGAAATCCTATCAAATAAATGATTCGAACAAATGAAAATTCATCTAAAAGAAAATTCTATTTTTTAAATTCTACCTAATAAAAATTCATTAAAATGGCTAAATTATGTAATATAGAAAATCGGTTTACTGAAAATTTTGCAAAATAATAATTCGAACAAATAAAATTCGGTTCAATGAAAATTATATTTAATGAAATTCTATTAAATGAAAATTCTAACAATTGATTTGTCGAAATAAATACACTGCAAAAAGAAGTATCTTATTTTAAGAAATTTTGGTAGCGTTTTAAAGACATTAAGATATTTCAAATGTCTTGAAAACGCTACCAAAACATCTTAAAATAAGATCCTTCTTTTTGTTGTGTAATCGCGGTGTTTCAGTGTACTATGATCGAAAAAGTATAAGGAGACAAATCACCTTTATAAAATACTAAATTTGTTACGCAGGGTTTTACAATCTACAGATGCACGTGCATAAAGCTGTTCTAGCTTCAACACTTACAGTTATATATTGAGTTTCCGGAACAGGTAGCATCGTGATGATAGGATTCGGAATGTGCGGAACAATTCGGTGTTAGTAGAGGATCAAATGGACAAAGTAAATCCAGTGGTAAAAGAGCAGATAAACCACCACCTGTATGATACATTTTACACAATAATTGTCAATGAAAACCTTTACCCTGAAACATCACGGTGTGTCTGAATGAACTTCAACCCAAACAAACTTGCAGATCAAAATTTCTTTCTTATTTCTTTTCTTGGATGTTTCCCGATAATTTTAAATCCAAAAAGAAAAAATAATAGTAAGATTATTCAAGGTTTAAATATGTTTAGACGGTTACAACTTTGCTTCTAATCTAATTAAATGATAAATTTTGAAAAGGGCTCAACTCTGAAAAGTGTACGAGTCATTTTTACTGTCAATTGTTATGCGAAAATGACACGCTTTTTCGAGTTGAGTCCTTTTCGAAATTCACGATTCAATAAAAATAGACAGCACTAATTTTTTTAGATTTCCTCAAAATTAAGTCTACTTTAATTAATCCCTGGGTAATAGCATTTTCAATGCAGGAGTTGGAGAAAGATTTTTAACGGGTTAAAAAGCAATAGAAAAGGATAATTTTGAAAAAAAAATTTTTCTCTTTGAACTCAAAATTATCAGGAGACATCCTGATTGTAAAAGAAAAATTATAAAAAAATTTTTATACGCAAGCTTGTTTTGGTTTAACTTTATTTAGACTCACTGTGACATGACTTTAAAAGACCGCACATCCAAAATTAATGATTATGCTATATGTATTTAAAGAATGAAGAAAACTATAAAATAAAATGAATTCACAGTTTGCAGTCAATTTCTAAGAAAGGAAAATTTGAACATAAAAAAATAATTTGTGAAAACAAAAGTTGAGACATTAAGTGAAATTTAAGATGCAATTTGTAAAAAAAATTCCATGATCCAGTAAATATCTTAAATTTAATTTTAGAACTAGATGGACATTTTAAATGATACCTCTTACTGAGTAGAAAAATAAGAACTTATTCTTACACAAATAATGAACTATGAAGCAAATTTAGTTTTAATGACAAACAATAGGCCAAGCAACCTCATTTTAAATGAAAGATTAACTAAAACAAAAGTAAATGTGAAAAACGTACTTGAATCCAAAGGATTTATGAGACCTGCACTGTTCCAATCGAATTGAGCTGCCGGTACTTCCTATTAAACAAAGAGGCATACATGGTATTTCACAAAGTAAAAACTTCAAATTTTATAATTAACAGGGTGTCTAGCGCTTTTGCGAAATAAAATTTCAGGTTTTCCAGGTTAAAAATTTTTTTTTCCAGATATGTATTATACTATTTTAATAAATAATGACAAAAATATATTAAATGTGGGTAAGACTCCATCAGAAATATCACGATTTGCAAGGGGTCTCGAACGGGACCGATTTTTGAGTTTCTTATAATAAAAAGTACATTTTTTTTTATAATTTCACCTTTATTTTAAGACCAAGAAAACTATGCGCTAAACCGGTGCGCGCCTTCACAAAAAATGCAATATCTCGAAAACTATTAAAGTCTCCATTGTTTTCTTGGTCTTAAAATAAAGGTAAAATTATAAGGAATATTTTATTTCTTATTACAAGAAACTCAAAAATCGGTCCCGTTCGAGTGAAAACGATTCAAAAAAAACTATTTGACTGTTTTTGGGTCAAAATTCAAAAACAATTTTTCAACTATATGTAACACTTCGAAAATGTATGTTTTAAACAATAACATATTAAAATTGTATTGAGATCCGATTAATTGTTTCAGAAATATTTGGGCATATCTTTGAAACCTTTAACTTTTCAATAAGAAAAAATTTTTTTTTTTGTTTTTGAGCACAGTATTGAAACTCTGTCTACATAAACTTCAAGAACTAAGCTTTCCAATTATACAAGTGGACAGATAAAACAAGTTGTCTTCAAAAAGTTATAAATATTTAAAATTGAGAATTATTTTTAACCTGTAACAAAAAAATATTCAACAGGTGTTTGCTTTTTAGGATAAAAAACAGTTGAAGGGAATTTTCTAAGGGGTTATAATTTTAAAAAGCAATAAAATTCGTTTAATATTTTCAATATTTATGTGAATAATAAAATACTGAAATAATGCACTGGGTATAAAAGCATGTGTCAAAAATTAACTAGATATATAAATTTTTTATTTGAATATTTACATTACATTTTAAAATAGATTTTCATTATAGTGAATTGTTTTAAAAATGTAAAATTGTAATTTTTAAAATTTACCATACGATTTTCATAGACTTTTTTCTATTTAAATGTAATATTCGTAAACTTTCCAATTTCTTTTCTATTTTTCTTTTCTCTCGCAGCTTATCTTTTTTCAGAATGAATTTTTTTGGAACCATTTTTGTGTCTCGAAATAAACATTAAAACTTAACCTTCAGGTTTTAATAATTAATGACAGTTTCTATTAAAAAAATTATAATCGGCAACTTCGTACATAACAATTTCTTTCTAAAAAATTCTAAAATATTTTTACATTATCTTTGCAATAAAGTATTTTTTCTCGAAGCACATTCACGGGATGTTAAATGGCACATGTGAAAATATATACAAGTACTTTCCGAATACTTTTATATGATTTTCATGAAGTATCACTCGTATTACGGTTGTTTTCAAATTTTGTCCACGCGTGTTTTCGTTTATTTAACTTATAATAGTTTTTTGAAGACATGAAGCACATCAATTTATTATGTCTCAAAATAATTATAGTAACTTGATCTTTGATTTCCCATAAGTTATTTTAACGTGCCGCTTGTCTTATAAAAGAAAAATCATTAATACGATGATTACGGTCGAAAAGGTTAAAAGTGAGGGACAACTTTTAAAAGCTTATAAATTTTTTCACAATTAATAAAATATTAATTTCCCTGCGAAAATGTGTTCACCGATTAATTAACATTGAAAAAACATATTTCAGAATTAGCAATTTTTATTAAATCTAAAACTATATCGTTTAAAGCATCAGAATGTATGGTTAAGGACAAGTTGACATTGTTAAAAATCGCGTATTAAAATTGAAATAATTATTTATGTATTTAATAAATTAAAGTGGAATCTTTTGGAAATGATTGATTGTATCAAGCATTAATATTTCCAACAAAAACCAACGAAAAATTTATTAAAATTACCAAAATATATGCGAGGGACATTAAAGTTAAAGGTTCTAGAGATATGCCCATTTATGTTTAAAAAATAATTGTCAAAAAATTCAATATGGCGTAACTTTTACAATTTTGAAAATTTTTAAAAATCTTTCGGGACTTTCATTTATCCGCAGTACTACAATTTTACCAAATTACAGACGAATCCAAAGACCCCTTGCAAATCGTGATATTTCTGACGGAGTTTTACCCATGTGCAAGATTAAATTATTTTAAGTCTTTTTTTATTATAAACTAGTAATGAATAGGTACATTTAATTTTTGGCATTTTCAGGCTTCGGAAAAAATTTAGAGGAAGAAAAAAGTCGTTTTAGTTGATTTACATTACAAAAAAACTCAAAAAAGTGGCTTCTTTTATTTTTAAATTAATACAATTAGTAAATATTTTATTATTATTATCAAACAATTGTTAATAGAAATTAAATAAGTTTTATTAATTCCTGAATAAAAATGTTTCATAGAGAAATTTTAAAAACATTCTATTTACAATATTTTAGAATTGAACTGAGACAAATTTCAAAAAATTCATTTTGGTATAGGACAAATTTTAAAAAAATAATTTAAATTTACTTTTAAAAAAAAAAATGTTCTAAATATGATTTATGTAAATTATTCAAATTCAGAAGTTTAGAAAATGTTTTAAATAATTAAATTTTCGAAAAGCTTCAAAGAAGTCGAAAAAGTCACATTTTATTAAAATAAGTTGAAAATAGTCTCTCACATTGAAAAGAGTCAAAAAATTTGTGCAATCCGAGGCCTGTATTTTACATAAGAATATGTACATAAAAACGTTTACGAACGTATTTTACCTAATTTTGTGCTTCCAAACGCGGTTGGAAAAAAATTCTTAAACAAAATAAGGAATTCCAGGACCCGATGAAAAATTCAAGAACTTTTCCAGGTTTTACAGATAAAAGAAAATTCAAGGACTTTTCCCAGTTTTCAAGGAATTTCAGATCGCTAGAAACCCTAAATTAGTTATTTATGATGTATCAGAAACACAAGATTAAAGAAATTTTTTAAATGTAATTATATTATATTACTATACTTACTTCTGTAAATGTAACATTTTTAGTTTTTCCTAAATTAGACGAGCAAATTTGTTGCGAATCATTGTGAGCTTTCACAGGTTCTAGAGGAGAAAAACCTAAATTAGCTGCAAATCTTGGAATATTTGGATTCCACCTTGGTCCGAACAGCTAAAAATAAAGAACATTAATGAATAAATAATATAAAAATATACTTAATCAATTGAAAATTATAAATTATTAAATCAAGTAAATTCATGGAAAAATATTGTTTCAAGTTTTTAAAATTCAATATAAAAGCTTGAAATAATTTAGAAAATATAATTACTTTTATTTATTTTATATTTATTTCACTGCAAACTAATTTGCTTGTACTATTTAATATTGTATTGTATTAGAAATTCAGTGAATATTTATTTTTAAACTTATCAATGAAATATACTTAAACAGATTTAGACTGATTTTCTAATTAGCATAAATGTATTAAAAACAAAATTTTATCTTCCAGTTTGTTAAGTGACTATATAAATATCTTCTAACTGAACAAAAACTATAAAAATTTTAAATAATACTATAAATAAATTGAAGAATCGTGAAAAATTAATAGTTAAGAAATTGAGGCAAATTGTAAAATAGAAAAAATGTATTATTACAATATTTCGAGAATCGATGCCCAAAGAACTGAGAAGAGTATTATTACTAGAGCTGTTTGACCATTGATAAGTTAGCGCATTAGTTTCTTCAACACTCTTCAAACAATTCCAAACATTATCCTCTTCGACAATCAGTGGTACTAAATCCACATTTTGATCTTCACCAGTCAAAGGAAACATAATGGTTATTATGTCTTCAATCTTGTTTGCAGCCTGTAAATTAATATTAAATGTTTCTACAGAAATTAGAAACAAAGAAACTGAGGAAAATTTTTAACTCTATTTTCCAATTCTATTGATTATTATAAACATATAAATTTTAAAAAAAATTATATCTAATTTCATTATAAAAATAATTGTAATTTCTAGAAATAAAGAACTTAATAAAATTAAAAACAATAATAATAGAAGATCTAGATATTTTAATTAAAAACGTTACAACCCTATGTATCTGAATAGAGACCATTATTTCGTACAATAAATCTTCGATATATTTTTAAGCTATAAAAATTTAAATTAGGTTGTATTCCAATTCAGTGAATTTATAAAGTTTAAAGTTATTAACTAGATTATCATGATATATTGTTTTTAATTTTGAAAATTTTTAAATACTTACTTCCTTTTTCTCAGACGTCAAAAACTTGTTTTAATTAAAAGTGAGTTTAAAAAATGCTATTAAATTTTGCTTTTTACATTAAGATAAGTCAACTTTACATTGCAAAAAGTGAGTTCAGGAAGTTAAAACAGTAAAATTTCAAAAACCAAATAGAGGTATTATGGCCAATTATATTCGACTTGTGCTCATTTGTGCAAAAATTAATTTTTTGAATATCAAAATTTCGGACCAAAAATTAAAAATTTTTTAAAAACGTTCAAAATTAAAATTTTCAAAAAAAAATCTTGTGCAAATTGAACAAAAAAAATTTATTTTCCAAAAAATTAAAAATTTCGGCCAAAAAAATTAAGACATTTTAGAAAAGTCGATAATTAAATTTAAATTAAATTATGTTGTAAATAAAAATTGTTTGTTTTCAGCTAGCAGAAATTTATAGTAATTTGAAAAAAATTATTTGTTCAATTTGTTCATTTTTAATTTTTTCAAAAATAATGGATAATAAAGAATTTTAAGTTTTCCACTTTCAATGTTTTGAAAGATAACGTAAGATTCACTTGAAACTCGTTATTTCGGGGTTTTTCGGGACACTGATTACGAATCTGATGTTAGTTTTTCAAAATTCAAAATGGCGGAACCAATATGGCAGACGAATTTTTTAAAAATTCAAGAAATTCACTTGAAACTCGTTACTTGAGTCGCCGGAAAGTAAAACCACACATAAAATTCTGACTCCCATTGAATTAACATGACCGTCAGAATTTTATGTGTGATTTTACTTTCCGGCGACTCACTTGATGTTTTTTGGGGTCACTGACATCAGATTTGTAATCAACGACCCCGAAAACCCCCAAGTGGAAAAGTTCAATTAAATCCGAACGATTTTTTAAAAAAAAAGTCCACCATATTGGATCCGCCATTTTGATTTTTGAAAAACTGGCACCGAATTATATTTTTATATATTATATATTATATATTTTATTAATGGAGCAAAAAAACAAAATGGCAAATATTTTGAAAAACGGTTAACACCATTGAATTCAGTTTATCCAAATTAGGTTAATACACTATATGCCGAGTTTTTTTTTTTAAAAAAGAACCTTTTTCGAGGTAGTGTAATTAGCACAAATAATAGTATCTGATTTAGAGTACTTTACATTATTAGAACAAAATTATTTTTAAGAATAATTTGAAGAAATTATTTTGAGAATTTGAGTTTGAGCCAAAATTTTGATTTTTTTAAAAAATGAATTTGTACATAAAAGAGCACAAATCGATCACAATTCAGTACAATATTTGTTTTTGAAAATTTCGGTAACTTTATATTTAAAAATCTTTTTCGTTTTTTTCCCGGGATTTTGAGTTTTTCCAAAAAATAATTTTTGCTTATTACCTATATGAGCAGAAGGCGAACATAATTGGGCACAATATAAATAATATAAACAATTTTTTTCTTTTTTCGACATTGATAGAGAAAAAAATACAAAATTCCCGGATATTATGAAATTTGTAGAGTTGACTACAACAGAATATAAGTGCTGTTAAATTTATTTCATCAAATAATAAAATAGCTAAATCTAATTTTTTTTAATTATTCAGTACTTACGCTCTTATTTTCTATCCGAGAAATAGACTCTTTCAAATTAAATGGAATTGTCGATGAAACGGCAGTTGATTCAAAATCACCAAAATCGTCATCTTGCCTATCCGATAAGGTCTCATCTTCTTCTCTAGAGGACTGCTGTTCCGCCTGTGAGCTGGAGAAATCAGCAAAATCACCAAATTCTTGAACATCACTAGTAACTGTTTGAAAATTTCCAAAGCCAGATTCTTCTTTATCCGGCACTTCCGACTGAGATTCGATAATTTTTTCATTTCTGAAGCATTGTTCCTTTGAATTTTGTTTTGAGAAACTATCGACAGATAAATAATCTGAAAATTCAGCGAAATCTTCAAAATTCAAGTCCATACCAGTTGAATTAACTGGTATGTGATTGGTATGGTCATTTTCTAAGCCATCTGCCTCAAGAAAAACTGAGTCCTGCAAACTATTTTCAACTGTGACATAATTTTCTTTTCGATATTCGTCTACTTCATTCAATGAAATACTAGGACTCTCAGTTTGATTGATATCATTTTCGATAATACTTTTTGGTTGTTCTACATATTCTTCTGTTTCAAGAGAATTTCTCAACTCCAATTCGCTCTGTGAAACTAGATTCTTATCTTTTTTTTCTACAGAGGTAGAGTGACAATTTGATTCTTGAATCACAGTGCTATCTACATAGGAGAAATCTTGTTGAACTCCCTCGTAGGTTGAGTTTTCCGAGGAAATTATTAAGGCAGAAAGTGTCTTCTTAAGCCTCTCTTCGTCTTGAATGGTTTCATCACATTTTGCACTGAATTCGGTGCGTGTAAAAGTATCACTACTTTGATGATTTGATACTTTCTCATCGTCATTTTCAAGAGAATTTTTATAGGATGAGTAATCATAGAAATCATCGTCTAAATTTTGCTGTAGGTCCGGAATACTAGCAGGGTCATCAAGAATTAAACTGAGTGGTTCTTGATCCTCGGGACTGCTGAGGGTCTCTTCTTCCTCCCGTTGACTGACAGTTTTAACACTATCATCTAAACTACTATTATTACTACTAATCACTACGTCGGTGGTAACAAAATCCCTTTCCTCTAATTCACTTCTAAGAGAAACGCAACAAAGAAAACTATCGCTATTTCTTTGGAGAGTTTGCGACTGTTCGCTTTCTGGTAAATCTAAATCGCTACACAAAACACTGCCGTCTCTCAAGGCATTGTCTTCTTTAAAACCACTATCTGTCCTATTATCTAAAGTAACATTGCTCACTGCGCTTTCCGTTTTCTCAATGATAAGAATGTCCTCGTTTGTCAACGACTTGGAAGAAACTTGTTTCTTTGGAGTTGCGCTTTGGCAAGTGATGTTCTCAGTTGTACCATTTACTTTCGGCGAAGCACAGACTGATGGTACTGGGGTCGCAATCGGAGTTACGATCTTCTGTGGTGAATCAGAGGCAATCGACAAATCTACGTCAAATGTTTTTAGTGAATAAATAGAGAACTATCAAAAAATTTTAACATTCAACATTTTTTCATTATATTTACAACATTTATACTTGAATATTTTTGAAAATTTCTACAATTACAAAATGAACATACCATCAAATCCTCCAGTTGCAAAATCTCCAAATTCATCGTCATCAGATTCCCTGCAATTATCCAAAGGTGGTGGAGTTGAACTGACCAAAGGATGAAAGGCCATCATAACATGCCTCCTAAAATACATGATTGACACAATATAAACATTTTATATTGAAATAAAAATCTAGCGGATTTTGAAAGAAAAGTTTATAAAAGAACAATGTTAAAAATAGTCGATATTTTATTCTTTCAATTGTGTGGCGACAACCCGAAGAAACGAGTGTATAAGTGTGTATCGGTTCTTTTCAAATTTAAAAAACATATTAATCGAAATCTAGTTCAGGTAATTTGAAAACATACTTCCAAAATTCTGTCCATGGCATTCACATACTACTGGAGATTAACGATGAATTCAACTATTTGTTCGATCAACACAATGAATCTTCTTCTCCTTCTTAAATGACTTGTGGCATAGCCAAGTTTTAGAATAATTAAACTAGAAGAGGAATAAGTTTTCAGAATAATCTGAATGAATCCTTGTTGGTAATACAGATCAGATAGCAAAAGGTAAATTCAGATGATAAGAAATTTGAGATTGAATCAAATACTCTGTTCACTTGAAACGGTTCAGCAGAGTACAAAAAGGATGGTTTTACCATGTCTTGGATCCGTTCAAAAAGAATAGATTCCGTAGGAAGAATGCGTGAGAGAGTCAAACAAAAAGAAAAAGGACAAAATAAAGCAATCAAGAGAATTAAGCAACACTGATAAAGCCAAAGGACTTCTCCTGGAGTTAAAGAAAGTATAGCAGTGTTGAAGCGTGGAAAAGATGTGAGATCTATGTTGATAATGCAGTCCAGATAGAAAAAGGTGAATCCAGATGATATGTGGTTTAAAATTGCATCAAATGCGTTGTTCACTTGGGAACGACATAGACGAGTATAAGGAGAATAACTTTGCCATGCGTTGGATCCATTCATGAATCAAAATAAATTTAATGAGAAGAATACATGTGAGAATTGAATTCAAAACACATGGACGAGGTACATTGATATGTATAAAATTGATCTCAATAACAATTTCTATCGTTAAATCAGAAGAGAAAACAGACAAAATAAAATAAATAAGAGGTTAGAGTAAGACTGCTGAAGCCAAAGGACTCCTCCTGAGGTAAAACAGAGTGAAACAAATTCCAATTTGAATCGAAAACATCAATTACAACTGTAACGCGGGCAAATTGACAACTCCGGGTTTCAAATACTTTGAGTTTACTTAAACCTTGATGAAGGGGTATACAATTAAGATATTAAAGTGTCGAAGCACTGTAAAACGAAAGGTATTAATTTAATACCAACTTTAGGTACTAAATTGTTATTTGGTTCTATTTTGATACCTAAAATCGGTACTGATTTAGTACCTTCTTTTTACAGTGAGACCACGGCTCTATAAGGTGACACCGCAGATACACAAAAGATGTTTACATAGTTCCATAAAGCATAACAAACAGCAGAGGTCACAGCAAATCAATAGTGAGTCACTCCTAACTCAGACAGAATCAAGAATATTAATGAAAAAGCGGAGGAATGTAAAACCACACAAAACAGCATAAAACAATAAAAAGAATGGGCTCTCAGGAAAATAGAAGAAAACTCGAATAATTCACTAGAGCAATAAAGGTGAACGAGAGTAAAAGTCTCATACTCGCTTGAAGAACCAAAACATTAAACGGACTAGATCCCAGATGAATGCAGGTACTTCATCTGAAATCGAGAACTACAAGATTGATTTCAGAGTACTTCCTGGATCGAGGTGAGATCAAGTGGAAAATGGTGCTGAAACTGTTACACGGTTATCATCACCAAGTTAATGTTTAAAAAAAGGCCGTAGCCGGATAAGCAGGGTCCTGCGGCCCCCGCTCAAATTTCGTCGATATTTACAGGATCAATTAGTCTCAGTATGAAACTTTTTTTCGCCAAGTTTCAACTTCTAAAAATAATTTTGAAAAAAGTTATGGCATTTTTAAAAAAAAATTAAAAATTGGATTTTCTCTTAAGCGTTTATAGTTTTTTAATCGGGTAAAAAATATGTTATAGGGGAAGCAAAAATGCATCTAACCAAAATTTGGCGACCATTTTTGTGTAGTGGAAGGGGTAAACAAAAAATTTTTTTTACTTTTTATATTTTTTAAAAATATTAATTGACTTGGCACAATCACCATATTTTTTTCCTACATTCTTTAACATCCAAGAAGCAACATATTTTTTTGGCAGCTCGATCTGAGGGGTACTTGCCCGTTAAAATTAAAAAAAACTTATTTTTGGCCCCTAAAATGTATGGTATCTCTTAAAAATGGGAGGCCAACATCACCGGGCAAAGAAAATGTTAAAAAGGAAGCAAAAATGCATCTAACAAAAATTTGGCGACCATTTTTGTGCAGTGGAAGAGGTAAAAAAAATATTTTTTTAATGTTTATATTTTTTAAAAATATTAATTGACTTGGCACAATCACCATATTTTTTTCCTACATTTTTTAACATCCAAGAAGCAACATATTTTTTTGGCACCACGATCTGAAGGGTACTTGCCAGTTAAAATTTAATAAAACTTATTTTTGGCCTTTAAAAATCATGGTATCTCATGAAAATGGGGGGCCAACATAACCGAGCAAAAAATATGTTAGAAGGAAAGTGTGACGAAACTATATATATATATATATATATATATTGAGCACTGTTAGTATATCTGCTATATATAAGAAACAATTAGTCTTGACTTATACGTCCAATGAATGCACAAAGGGTGTAAAGAGTCAGTAATGACGTAGACATATGTTTTACACCTAGATTAGATATGCTAGATTTATGTATAATGAATGCTCAAGGAGTGTGACTAAAGTAAACAAAATGAAGAGAATCACATAATTTATTTGATATATTATACCTTGCATAATTTCATATACATAGTAACATAAATCCTCCACTGCTAAAACTGTTATAATTGAATCGAATAGATTGGCGGAATACTGTGCATATGATTGTGCACTAAGAGTGTTGCAGAACTAGTAATAGTAACGAAAAGTACACGAATAATAAATGTTATTGCATTTATGATAAGTTAGATATACTAAACTTATGTTAATATAGTTTTATATAATTATAATATTAATGAAAAAAGTGCCGTGCACTAAAAATACACTTGACTTTTAATAATGCCTGTTATTTTACTTAATGTTTCACAGTAAAAAGTAAATCTTATATTAAGGTTAATCTTAAATTAAATGATTCTTGGAAATCAACATAGTCTTAATTTAAAGTGAGCCTTGTATGAATTTAAGGTACTCATAAATCTGAATTTACAGAGTGTTTGAAATTCAACTCCCTTTGAGCCTTAATTTATAAAAGCTAAGTCTTAAATTCAGCTTGGGGCTGCTGCTTTTACCAAAAAATTGCCTTCAATATAGCACATAAAAAGTTCTGAAAATCAGCTTACATACCCCCTTTTTAAAATCAACAATGCCTGTCTTAAAAATGTTGCGTCTTAAAATAAGACTTAATTCCGCCCTTAAAATAAGATTCTTTTTTTACTGTGTTCAGTTTCACTCATAAAGCTGCCAAAAGAAGGCACACATTTGCATGTAAAAAAGAAGGGAAGAAAAAATAGGGTGATTGTGCCAAGTCAATTAAAAATTTTAAAAGAAAGTAAGAAGTAAAATATATTCTTACAACTTCCACTGCAGAAAATTGAACACCAAATTTTTTTTAAATGCATTTTTGCTGTCCTTTTAACATATTTTTTGCTCGGTTATGTTGGCCCCCCATTTTTATGAGATACCATGATTTTTAAAGGCCAAAAATAAGTTTTATTAAATTTTAACTGGCAAGTACCCTTCAGATCGTGGTGCCAAAAAAATATGTTGCTTCTTGGATGTTAAAAAATGTAGGAAAAAAATATGGTCATTGTGCCAAGTCAATTAATATTTTTAAAAAATATAAACATTAAAAAAATATTTTTTTTACCTCTTCCACTGCACAAAAATGGTCGCCAAATTTTTGTTAGATGCATTTTTGCTTCCTTTTTAACATTTTCTTTGCCCGGTGATGTTGGCCTCCCATTTTTAAGAGATACCATACATTTTAGGGGCCAAAAATAAGTTTTTTTTAATTTTAACGGGCAAGTACCCCTCAGATCGAGCTGCCAAAAAAATATGTTGCTTCTTGGATGTTAAAGAATGTAGGAAAAAAATATGGTGATTGTGCCAAGTCAATTAATATTTTTAAAAAATATAAAAAGTAAAAAAAATTTTTTGTTTACCCCTTCCACTACACAAAAATGGTCGCCAAATTTTGGTTAGATGCATTTTTGCTTCCCCTATAACATATTTTTTACCCGATTAAAAAACTATAAACGCTTAAGAGAAAATCCAATTTTTAATTTTTTTTTAAAAATGCCATAACTTTTTTCAAAATTATTTTTAGAAGTTGAAACTTGGCGAAAAAAAGTTTCATACTGAGACTAATTGATCCTGTAAATATCGACGAAATTTGAGCGGGGGCCGCAGGACCCTGCTTATCTGGCTACGGCCTTTAGGTTGTCATCATATTCTCAGTATTTCGCGTCGGACATGAAAATCAGGTAGCATCCTGATGTCTAGTTCCTTGATTGATTCTTGACCAATCCCTAGTGTACACTGTGCACGAAACCTAGTATTGTTCGATGACGAAATTCGGAACTCAATTTCTAGAATAACTTCGAAAAATAAAACGGGAAAATAGGATTGGTTGAAACTTATACTAGACGTGGCCTAATGTTACGAATTGATTTACAGACATGAAGGACAGACAGAAGGTTACTAGTGGCAACGATTCGTACTACGTTTGATCTGCCCCGTCGGTTTGTAAACCGGGAAATACTAAATCTTAATTTTGTTTAGTTTTTATTTTGTACCTATTATTTTTTATTTCAATATATGTTTCTTTAGAAGGTTTAAATAATGTTTCATTATTGACTTTTTCTCTCCTATCAAAGTCACAGTTAAAAGTAAAAAAAAAAAACGTTTTGATTATTCTATAGCAATTTAGTAAAAATTACTTTATTGATCAACTCTGGCTCCATCCGGCGATCATTAGAATAGAAT